AAAAAAAAAAAAAAAAAGAGTTGGACACTTAAGTGACTGAGCCACCCAGGCGCCCTGGATATATGGGTGTAAAGCTCTGGAGGGGAATCTGGGCTTGTGCTGAAGATTTGGGAGTCACTGGTATACTGATAAAGCCTTGGACATGAGTAGATAAGAGAGCATGTGGAGCAAGAAGAGAAGAGGACACCTCAAGAACTTCAGCATTGAAAGAAGTGGGGAGCCCAGAAGTGGCACTCAGAAATTATCAGAAAGGTGGATGTCATGGAGGGGGAGAGGGAAGAGAGATATATCCCTAGTACTTGCAGTTGAGGAATGAAATAGTTATGGTGCATTTACTAAAGGAATGCCATGTCTCCCTGACAAATAGGTTGACTCTGATCTGTGAGGAGATGCAAGTGAGGCAGTGTTATGTGGATTAAAGTAGAACAGCAAAGTTGTACATTTGAGTAAAACTTGTTAAAATTTGGGATTTGCAGTGACCAAGTAAGATTTTTTTCTTTAAAGATTTTATTTAATCCTCAGAGAGAGAGAGGCAGAGGGAGAAGCAAGCTCCCTGCAGAACAGGGAGCCCCGTGCGGGACTTGATCCCAGGACCCTGGGATCATGACCTGAGCTGAATGAGCTGAAGGCAGACACTTAACTGAGCCACCCAGGCACCCAAGATTTTTTAAAGATAATTGGAAGACTAAGGAACTAGAAATAGAAAGTATTTATAAAATTATTTTAAATGGTACAGACCCAGTGGAAAACAATATAGTGGTTCCTCAAAAAATTAAAAATCTACCATATGGGGATGGCCGGGTGGCTCAGTCGGTTAAGCGTCTGCCTTTGACTCAGGTCATGATCCCAGGGTCCTGGGATCGAGTCTCTAATCAGGCTCCTTGCTCAGCAGGGAGCCTGCTTCTCCCTCTACCTGCTGTTCCCCCTGCTTGTGCTGTGTCTCTGTCAGATAAATAAATAAAATATTTTTAAAAATAATAAATAAAAATCTACCATATGATCTAGCAATTCTACTTCCAGGTATATACCCAAAGGAATTGAAAGCAGAGTCTTAAAAGGGGGGGGGTGGTCTTGAAGAGAAATTTGAACACCCATGTTCATAGCAGCATTATTTACAATAGCTAAAACATGGAAACAACCCAAGTGTCTGTGTACAGATGAATGGATAAACAAAATATGATATATACATGGAATGGAATATTATTTGACCTTAAAGGGGAGGAAATTCTGACACATGCTTCAACATAGATGAACTTTGAAGACGTTATGCTACGTGAAATAAGACAATCACAAAAAGACAAATACTGTATGATTCCCCTTCTGCGAAGTACCTAGAGTATAGTCCGATTCATAGCAACAGAAAACAGAACATAGGGGCTCCTGGCTGGCTCAGTCAGAGCGTGTGACTCTTGATCTTGGGGTCATGAGTTCCAGCCCCATGCTGGGTGTAGAGGTTACTTAAAATATACATATATATTTTAAAGACAACAAGAAAGTTGAATGGTGATTGCCAGGGTCTGGCAAGAGGGATTGGGATGAGGAATTAGTGTTTAATGGGTACAGAGTTTCAGTTTTGCAAGATGAAGAGTTTTTGGAGGTAGATGGTGCACAATCTGAGTGTATTTCATATCACTGAACCTGTACACTTAAAAATGGTTAAGATGGTAAATTTTATGTGTATTTTACCACACACACACAAAAAAGAATTAAACTTGAAAAGAAAATGATGGTGACACAGGCTCATCCCTATAATCTGACTCAGTGGGTCTGGAGTTACTGGTACCTAACACACAGCCAGAGTGGGGACCCCTGGTTTAGCACATGGGCTGCTGTAGGGGGAAACCGGGTAACCCTGATCACGCCCAAATCTCATCTTGGTTTCCAGGATGACTTTTGTTTAGTTTTTTGTTGTTGTTTTGTTAACTTTTTTTAACTTTTTTCATTTAAATTCAAATTAACATATAATGTATTATTGGTTTCAGAGGTATAGGCCTGTGATTCATCAGTCTTATATAATACCGAGTGCTCATTGCCTCACATGCCGTTCTCAATGTCCAGACTTTAGTTTTGTTCTTTATTTTATTTTTTTATTTTTTATTTATTTTTTTAAAGAT